CTGTGAGCTGTTGTCATTGCCCATGACTCACACCCATAGGTCAGGACTGGTACATAGGTAGAGCGGTAAACAGCCATTTTCGTCCTCTTGCCAATTTCTCTTTTGCTAAGAAACCCTCGGTTTATGGCCTGGAAGAGTCTCCCAGCAGCTGCTTTTCGTGTAGCCAGCTCAGTCTTAATGCCTCCATTTTGGTCTAATACAACTCCAAGGTATTTGAACTGGTTAACCTGCTCCAACGCATACTGACCCATCATGATCTGGTGTTTCTTCTCCTCTCTTGAGATCACCATGGTTTTAGTTTTGGAGACACTGATGGTCATCCCTTTCTTTTCAAGCTCTTCCTTCCAGACAAGTAAGTTGGACTGAAGGTGTGCCTCTGATTTAGCTATCAGGGCCACATCGTCTGCAAAAGCCAGCTCTGATATACAGATTGGTCTCATCTTCCAGTACCCTACAGAGTTCTTCTTTGTCTTCTCCTTACAGGTCTTGATGACATCATCCATCATAAGAATGAAGAGGTAAGGTGAGAGAATATCACCTTGTCTAACACCGCTGGTGGTCTTAAATTCTTCTGACTTTTGGTCTGCTGTTCTTACATAATTTCTGCACTTTTTGTAGAAACTCTGTATTGCACTGATCAGGGGTGCTGGGATGTTTTTCCCTGCCAAGCAGTCCCAGAGCTTGTTCCAGGGTACCTTGTCAAATGCCTTTTCCAGATCCAAAAAAAACATAAGTGAATCTCACTCTTATATTCCAGGGCTTTTTCACTCATCTGTCTCAGTGTGAAGATAAGGTCTTGAGTACTTCGGTTTGCTCTGAAGCCGCACTGGGCCTCGTCCAGCTGTGGCTCTACCAGACTTCTAAGTCTCTGCTCAAGAATTCTAGAGTAACTTTTACCGGGAATGCTGAGGAGGGATATGCCTCTGTGGTTTTCACATTGTCTGTTATCACCTTTTTTAAATATAGGTATAATGATGGCAATCTCCTAATCTTTTGGTATAGTTTTGCTACACCAGGCTGCATGGAGAACCTTCAGTAGAAGGCGCTCACCTTCGACTCCCATATATTTGACCATCTCTGGTGTTATACCATCATGACCTGCTGCTTTTCCCAGCTTAATCTTCTCAATAGCTGCCTTCAATTCTTCCATCCTGATGTTATCTTCCCCATGATTGAATTCCTTCTCAGCAGTGAGGTCCATTATTTCTGGGTCATGACTTCCCTCAGCGCCGAGGAGCTCTGAGAAGTATTCTTTCCATCTGCCCATGATATCATTTGTAGAAGTAAGCAGAGCCCCTTCCTTGTCTTTTATGAATTTAAGTGGGCACTCTTTCTCCTTCCTCATGTTCTTAAGGGTCTTGTAGAACAGTTTTTTTGGTTTTCTCTTGCATTCTTTTCCAACTTTTCTCCAAACTCTTCCCATGATTTCTGTTTTGCTTTAAGCACAATATTTTTGGTCTCTGTTCTGAGTGCCACATATTGTTTATATTTTTCTATTTCTTCAGCTGTGTTCCTGGCTGCCAGGTATTGCTTCCATGCCCTTTTCTTTTCTCCTATTTTCAATTTGACTTCTTCTGTCCACCAAGGTGTCCTGTGTCCCCGCCTTCCACTTGGGACTTCACCATATGCTTCTACTGCAGCTGCTGTGAGGATATTCTTGAATCTGCACCAGAGAGTTTCAGTGTCCTCTGATGATTCTTCTTCAGTTCCTATTGCTTTCACTATAAGCTCCTGGTATCTAGCCTTAATATCTGGCTCTCTTAGCTTGTATGCTTCACCTGTACATACAAATTCTAAATCTTCCCAGTTTTTCTCCGAAATTGCTTTCTCACCTCCTCTCCCTTCCCATTATTTACTCTCCCAAACTACGTTGCTGTCCCAGGGGGGGGGGGGGGGGTGGGGGGGGGAAAATTCTCTGTAATTTTAAACCCCCACTCCACCTGTTGTCGGGGGGGGGGGGGTGTCTTAATATAACAAAATGGTTGAAGGGGGTTTCTGGAACATACGACCGGATGATTCTCATCCGAATGGTGGTACTTTGTGTCACTGGGTGTTTATTGCTTATTGTGCGGTCCTGTGGGGTTGAACTTTATTCACTCATATTCACCCTCTTCTATTCAAATTAGAACATAATTTTGGTTTCTAGGACTTGTACCCGGGAATTTGCATTCTTTTGTCACAGGGTGGCTTGTTTTACGGTCCTAGTGCGTTTAAACGTCATTCATTCAATCCCTCTTCCACCCCTTCTTCTCCCTCACCTTATATCAGTATCTATCGTTTCTCATTTTCCCCTTTTCTTCTCTTCCTCTCTCTCTCTCTCTCTCTCTCTCTCTCTATATATATATATATATATATATATATATATATATATATATATATTTTATATATATATATATATATATATATATATATATATATATATATATATCCTTATTCTCTCTCTTTCTCACATCCTGCTTTTCTCCAAGACTTTCTCTCCCTTCAGCATTCTTCACCTCTCTCTCTTTCTCTATCTGTTTTTCATTCATTTCTCTTGTATTTTTAAATACTGTCAGTTATCTTTTTGTTGCATCATTTTATGTATTCATGTCTCTCTCAGACTAAACAATAAACAATATAAATGCATAAAAACACATTGTCGAACATAAAAGCAGATATTTATCAAATGTATCTAATGCTTTATTAAAACCTGTGTATGAATCATGAAATATAATTCGACTTCTAAAATATCGCCACAACAGTTCCTCTTCTCCATAGTACAAAGCCTGGACAGTATTATAGAGACCATGTGTTGCCCATGCATCATGATCCCTCTCCAAGTCTGTCTTGTTTACTCCGAAGAAAAGGTAGCACCAATATGTTTGAAACAAAGCACACTGCAAAAGCTGCTGGATCCAACCTATAATATTTGCTGGAAAATGACATGGAAAATAAAACTGGCAGACGTGATACTGACCCTACCGTCCACAGAGTACGGGCTGGTTAAGAAAGTTTGCTTTTATTGGCCTGAACTGGAAAAGCGTGTAAACATTTCCAGCGAGTTATGACTAGTCCGATGTTTCGCCTGGGACTTTTTTTATGATGATCATCATCATCATCATTATCATAATCATAAACAAAAATGTATTAATTAATATTGTAAAAATAAATAAAAGTATAGCTTGCATTTACTATAAAACATGCCGATCACAAAGAAGCTTATAGTCTAGAAGGGCTAATGTGTCCCCATCTAAAAAAAAATGAAATCCTAATTTTTCCTAAAGTTGAAGGCTAGCTGTTAATTTAAAATATGTAAACTAAAATATCTCTAGGTTAAGAATGTGTTGCTTAATTTCATGTACGGGTGAAGACAATATATTTTTTTTTAATAAGGACAATGTTCATGAATTCTATGCATGGCTGAAGACTTCACATTATCAGTTTGAGACAATGTTCATAAATCCCACGTATGGGTGAAAACAATACATTCCTAGGGGAAAGCAATGTTCATGAATTCCCTGCGTAGTTATGAACTTCACATTATCAGGTTAAGACAATGTTCATGAATTCCATGCGTGGTTATAAACTTCACATTATCAGGTGAAGACAATGTTCATGAATTCCATGCGTGGTTATAAACTTCACATTATCAGGTGAAGACAATGTTCATGAATTCCATGCGTGGTTATAAACTTCACATTATCAGGTTAAGACAATGTTCATGAATTCCATGCGTGGTTATAAACTTCACATTATCAGGTGAAGACAATGTTCATGAATTCCATGCGTGGTTATAAACTTCACATTATCAGGTGAAGACAATGTTCATGAATTCCATGCATATATTAAGACATTTCCTTCTAGGTAAAACAACGTTTATGCATTCCATGCGTCTCAAAGGACTTCATTCTCCTTATTGGGTTGAGACATTGTTCATGAATTATATAAATGTATGAATAAAGACAAAGTTAACGAATTATCTACATGGCTGTAACCTTCACATTATCAACTGAAGACAATGATCATGAGTTCCAGCATTCAACAGTTACAGCATGTAAGGTCTGACATAAATTATGTAACATTCATTGAACACAATATTCAAGGCCAGTTTTAAACATAGTAGGAAACAGTCAACAGTTAAAGTGTCGAGTCTGATTAACGCACAGCCACAGTCGTTCAGAAGTTTTTTTTTTTTTTTAAATTTATTTGTATTTGTTCATTTTAAAGGACTATCTTCATAGCACATGAACACTACTTTCAGTGCTCAGATCTTCCTTTTTGCCATTAAAGACAATATCGGTGCAGTAAAAAAACAATGTGTAGTGTTTGCATTATTCCTATTGCATGTAATGCGCTCACAAAGTTGCAAAGACAATCAGTCAGTTATCCTTTGTAGAACCTTGCTCCCATAACAATATTCAGTTCTTGAAGCAAGGATGCATTTGTTCTCTTTTTTACCCATGATATTCTTAGAACCCGTCTTTAAATTTGTATTCGAAGGCATTTATGCGCTGATCAGCTTGGCAAAGATAATAGGTATTAAATATATTAGGCTGCTTGCGTTTTCCTTACTTCTTTGTAGAAAAATCCATAAGTGTATTGATCGTATCCAATTAATGAGAAAAAAAAAAAGCAAGAAAGAAATAGATATCTCAAGGCACAATAAATATACCCTTTCTCCAGCTTCTTCTATCCCAACTAATTCTAGTATCAAGTTTTCAATACTTGAGTCAGAGGAAACTAAGAAAAACTCACATTATGGCAGGGGTAGTAGTTCTAGCCGGTGCTCTGCGGAGCCCACTTTAGGGATTTAAAATAAAAATAAAAATTGAATGAAATTTAAGATAAGAAACAAAAAGTGATCAACAGGTTCCGTTAAAGAAAGTTTTTCTGAAGAAAAAAAAATGGCTTCGCGAGCCCAGTAGATGGGAATCGCTGAGTTAATATAACAACTATTTGTCACAGATTTGTCAGAAATGTGCACTGTATAGTAAATCTGTGTACAGATTCTCATTTTAGATCTACAGATTTTTCTTACAGTCTCTAGCTTTCCTTTCGTAGTCTAACAAGGCTTTACCCTTCCTTCCTCCGGCACTCATAGGAGGGCAGTAGGAGCCAAAGATCTTGTCCAAGTGGTTGAAGAAAGGCTGGAAGTTGGTCAGTGGCTTCTGGTGGTGCATGTCATGCTTCGGTGAGCCTCCGATGAGTCCCGTGGGGTCGATGTTGTGAAGGAGGAAGGGAAAGTCGAATCCAATGTGAGCCTCCACGCTGACAATGATACTTACTAGCATATAACTACAGATGAGAAAGGGAGATAAACATTTAGCATGAACGATTCATTAGATCTCTTTCTTAAATGTTCGATGTACTCTAGACAAAGCATTACGGTATGCTGTGTTTGTAAATTTATGCTGTGTTTGTTATAAGACCTATGCTTGGTTAATATATAAAGGTATGTAACCTACTGTGTCAGTTCGGTGGTTTGAGATTTATTCTGTCCACATGCCATACTTGTGGATTTCAAGCTGTACGATAGACATGGCCAATGAGGACGCCTTTTTGTTTTTAAATTAAAGGGTGCCTAGAAGCTTATGTTCTTAGTACCCTTGTTTCCATAGCGAGGCGCACAAGCCATTTGCAGGTGGCAGGCTCGATTCGCGGCTCAGTAATTACAGTTTTCAATGTGTATGTCGTCTAACCTTCAAACTTTCCACTTCTTTCTATGAATGCCGATCAATACATTTTCTGTTTACTTGTTATGCAAAGAACAACAACAACAACAACAACAACAAAAAACACATGGAGAAGAGAGCTGGAGAATGAAGCTAGAAAGATGGGAAGGACATGGGGAGAGCTCCATGTAATGGCGAAGGATAGAATGACTTGGCGTGAGTTGGTTGAGGGCCTGTGCTCCATTGGGGGATTTGAAAGGCAGGAGAAAAAAACGAAGAAGAAGAAGAAGAACAAGAACAAGAAGAACAAGAAGAACAAGAAGAAGAACAAGAACAAGAAGAAGAAGAAGAATCGACCTCTTTTCGCATAATTAGTAATAATCTGGTTTCTCTTGGATAATATTAATCGCACATCAAGATGTGAAGTCGTACACCTGTTTAATCAGTAATGTAGATTGGGGAACTGACAGAGATGTTAAAATACCAAAAAAAAAAAGGCAAAAAGAGTTTTCATAGCCCCAGGGAAATCTGTGGAAGCCAAAGAAAATGAAAACCAATAGCTAAACTTAATATATTTAGTTCTAATGTCAAACCATTACTTCTGAATCTAGCTAAAATATAAATAGCAACTAAAACAAAAAAAAAAAAAAAAAAACTACACACATTCATCAATTGATGCCTGCACAGAAAAGACTGAATTAAATGGCACGTCATAGACATTAGTGTGGAAACCTGGGAGAAAACTAAACCAATCCAAGTGAATCACGATTTGAGGAAAAGAAGCTGGTGTTGAATAGGACACATGGTGAGAAACCCTGAGAACAAAACAAAAACAAGAATATTTACACACTGGAACAGGGTCATAGAAATAAAATCAGACGACAATCCTACCAAGAAGGGAACTAAAGTTGAAAAAATTAAGGGGGAGGGGGCATGGGGTGAGCTGTATGCAATAACAAAAGAAAGGACCAACTGGCGTAAGTTCGTTGAGGGCCTATGCTCCGTTTAGAAATAAGTGGCAGAAAAAGTATTGCTTTTTTCTCGTCATTGTTTCTAAGGGCAAAAAGTTAAAACATGTTTGTGTATCCCTTAGCAGAGGATAGAGGACTTTACTCATTATCCCAGCGTTTGTTAGCTGTTTGTGGTTTTACAAGACAATTTGACGTTCAATAGTTTTGCATTGCCAATCGACGCCCCATACCACTGTCGAAATCAGTGCAAAGTGTGGGCAAGTGCTTGTCCCATTTTTTTTTAACACAACAGTCAGCACTTAGTGGACGATGTAGTCAACAACACGTCGGTGGCCTTCATTCTCATGAACTTTCTGTGCCCTGTTGGTGTAGTTCGACAAGGAAGCCATTTTTCTAAAAATATGACTCGCTGGGGATTCGATATCACGACCTTTAGACCGGTGGGCAATAGTCTATAAACCTAACTTAACATCAAGTGAGAGGCATCAAACAGGGCACAGTAGGTAATTGCAAGGATTAGACAAACATAGAGTGGTCGTGTCTCAAAGGGGACCGTTGCAGTAGCCATGAGGATCATCGTGGGTCACGCCGAAACATCCTGGCAAACGGAATTCTCGTGAAGTTGCGACAGACCTAACAAGCAAACCGGCTATCGATTTAATGACTACAATGAGATATAAACGGACTCCCAGCAGACAATCGTCTAGCCACTAATCTACTGTGACTCCCAGCAGACAATCGTCTAGCCACTAATCTACTGTGACTCCCAGCAGACAATCGTCTAGCCACTAATCTACTGTGACTCCCAGCAGACAATCGTCTAGCCACTAATCTACTGTGACTCCCAGCATGAATCACAACATCACGTTAAAATAATTTTCTCTTCCAGGCCGCCTACCCTAAAACGGATGTCCTGATATCCTCTGGGCGGTAAAGATAGTCAGTATGCCAGATTAGCGACTAGCTACATTATCACGATGTGCTGGTCGATCTATTACAAATGTGAGAATATGACAACATGTACTCAGTACTCTTTATGGAAGTCGGTGACGCCAAGATAGTAGACATTGTAGCTAACTTCTCATGCTAGCAGTAAGGAGAGGTAATTTTAAATGACTGAATGAATAAAGGAGTGAATCAAGAATGAACACCACTCTACTCAAGACATTCCCACGAATGCTCCGTCCCCTTCTTCAGTAACCAAAGAATTGTTTCTATGCTAATAGTACCAGCTGCAAACCTTATTACAAAGTCCGCCTATGTTATCCTTTCAGTTTTGAATATATTTAAGAACCTCTACACACTCCCCAATTTAATTCATCTTTCAATGTATGGATTCTCTGTCTGCTCTATTGCACTGTTTATTTGATCTCCACAGTCTTTATTATATTTCCTTTATCATGAAGTAGCTTATCGTCCAGAGGAGCAGAAGCAGCTAATCTTCAAGCCTGCTCGTTACCACGTACACCTAAATATTCTGGATAAAAAATCCCCGATATGCTTCTGATCTGAGACTTTCTTGTCAAATGATGCAAACCACTCTGCTCGCAGGATGCAAGTTTCAATTTTCCGAAGGATGCTCTGTGATTCCTTTACAAATACAACATGTCAGACTGTGCTACTGTCAAGCCATCGGAAAATTGTAGTACTACCTCCACTTCCATTCTCATACTGCAGTGGTTCTCAACCTTCCCAATGCGGCGACCTTTTAAAACAGCTACTCAAGTTGTGGCGACTCCCAACCATACAATTACTTTCGTTGCTTCTTCATAACTTCAGTGAATATGTTTTGCGATGGGCTTAGGCGACCCCTGTCTGTTAAAGAGTGATTTGACCCACAAAAGGGTCGCGGCCACAGGTTGAGAACCGCAATTATACTGGATGTGGTGACTTTATACGTGAGGCTCTGGTTTCAAACATTGTCCATTCCTCATTACTTGGGGAGGCTGCTGCACAGATGATTGATTAATCATTGCACTTGTGAACTGAATGATGCAAGGGAAGAAAAACCTAGGACCTTACGAATACGAGGCAAACGACTTGACCACTGCGGCACGGAGACCCAGAGCGCGCTTCTTCTTCTTCAGCATTCCAAGCCCTTGAGGTTCATTGCTGCAGATATTACCTGCCTCTATTTATCTCTTTGGTTGGTCTTCTCTTTCCATTTGGTGACACCAAGTGTTTGCAGGTCTCTTTGGGTATTATCTCTCCAACGTCTTCTTGGTCTGCCTCGTGGTCTACGACCATTCATACCCAGGGAACACGATATGATTAAATGGCTAGGTTTTAAAAAGACACAGAATGGGAGATGTGAAGCAAAGAACAAGTTGTTTAAAAATATGTAATGGAAAAGGTGAGGAATGAATAAATGAAATATACAGGAATCTGAATAGGTGGAAAAGATATAATGTCATTATGTTTTAAGAGATAGAATGACATTATTTGTTAAGATACTAGACAAGACAAAGAAGGGCAGATACAGGTGTATGTCTGAAAAATAAACCTTAAGAAACAATAGTATAAAGAATTTCAATTTCAGTAAAGAATAATAAATTATGGAGAAGCGCAGCAGACAAATCATCTAAATAAGTTTTATATATATATATATATATATATATATATATATATATATATATATATATATATATATATATATATATATATATATATATGTGTGTGTGTGTGTGTGTGTGTGTGTGTACATATATATGTATATATATATATATATATATATATATATATATATGCGTGTGTGTATACATATATATGTGTATTCTTATATATATATGTATGTTTGTGCGGGGGTGGTGTTTTAACGATAACGTAAAGATAAAGTAATATATTCTAATGTATTGTCTATATTTGTCAATATGGCAGAATGAATAAATGAACTAGTTTTAATTTTGCACTTCCAGATGAAGGATTCAGAATATAAATAAATGTGTCGCAGATCGACAAACCAGATCGTTGAACGAATCAGTTATGTGAAACAATGAAATAAAGAACTTCCAACTCAACATTACCTCCAAACAGTTAAAGGGTGAGAGTTGAAGAACCAGGTGTTCAGCATGTCAATAAAGACGTATTTATTTATTTATCCGATTATCTCCACACTTAACTAGATATATCGAACACTCAAGGTCACACTTTTTAACATCACACTGTAGAGAAAGGTTAAAGTCGGGATAGTGGGAAGTAAATGGCGGCAGATGTAAGGCGAGATAGTAAAAGGGAAGTGGGTGTAGGGGGCGGGGGGGGGGGGTCACTTGAAGAGTTAGTCAAACAGCAGTCTGAGAGAGTGTGCAACTATGACAGGGGACCCGGAATGTTGGAGAGTCCTTGAAGTAAATCTTTACGGGAAATTGATTCTGCAAATGA